CAGAGCTGGATCCCCACCCACCAGAGCCGCCAGCTTTTTCTCCACCAGAGATTGGCCCTTTCCTTCTCTTCATGCTGGCACTGCCAGAGCTCTGTCCTCCTTTCACACCTCTCCAGCCTCCCGTTCCCACACCAAAGACTCCAGCCGCACTCGCTTTGTGGTCAATGATACCTGTAAGAAAATGAAATGATGTCCACCTTACTCTTTTGCCCCCAACAAAGTGGAAACTCAGCGATACCTAAGTACTACTTACTTACTATCACTCTTCCTACTCTGCTGATCATAGTCCTATCTTTGAAAAGTTGTATCAAGGATATGCACTAGCAGACCTACCTACAAAATGTTTTCTCATAAGATTCTGGCCCCCAAGAATGGATTTCTCTCTCCTTTAGCATGGCTCCTATTCCCACAAATTCTAGGATTAGATTTTTCCCCATCAGTCCTTGCACAGACCTGTGCAACGTGAGCTTTTCCCTTTTCCACTCATTGGGTTTTATTCAGCATTGAGCTGCTGACACTGGAATTTACTGACAGATTGATGCACCTCATGGCTTCTCACACACCCCCACAACAACCAACCACGTGCCTCGTTTCCCTTCGGAAACTAAGACAGGAACTGAGGTAGGTTGTCCCGGTGACAGGTGTTAAGTACCACAGGTAACAGTGCTCTTAAATCAAAGCAAAATCTCGAGGTACTTACAGATGGTGGCTGGTGACCCTTCCTGTAGCCTGGGGAAGAAAAGTGACATTGAGGTAATGCGGCCAATGGAAGTAAAAGTCAGGCTAGGTTCTATCAGGAAGCCAAAGAAAGAGTTCCCTCCTTCCAGGCAGCAATTCACCCTGGAGATCTAAGTGACAGACCAAAGAATGGGACTCCTGCTTTGTACAGGTGAGACCCTTCATCCAGGATCAGTGGTTTGTACCTACCTGGTCTCCTCCTCATCAAGGAGTGATCTGTACATGGCAATTTCAATATCCAGGGCCAATTTCACATTCAGGAGCTCCTGATAATCATGAAGAAGGCGAGTGAGGTCATCTTTTGCCTGCTGCAGGGCGTTTTCCAACTCCTGAAGCTTTTGCTGGCCATCTTTGATGGCAGAACTCCCACGCTGCTCAGCATCTTTAATGTTTTCTTGGAGGCTGTCATTCTGCAGAGGGCACAAACAGAACGTGTCCATTTCCCTTCCACATGACTGGGATTTTCAAACCCAATTTCAATCCTTTGAAATTTAAAGACCTGCCTTAGTGACAGAACATACATTAGGACCAGGTAGATTAACCCAAATTAAATCCCAGTGTAGACATCCACAACCTCCATCTGCTTCATTCTGAAGAGAAAACACCATCTCTAGCTCTGCCCCCAAAGGCCACGCTACACAACACTGCGCTGAGTCCCTGGGTAAAAGTGACGCAAGTAGTTTAGTCATGTTGGAAAGTATCAGCTTTACCTTTTTCTTTGCAATTTCAATTTCTGGTTGGAGTCTTTGGATCTGCCTGACGAGCTCCTGGATCTCTTTGTAGCTGTTCCCCAGCTGCTCACGTTGATTTACCCACAAGTTCTGAAGGTCCTGGTACTGATGTGCAGAGAAGAAAACCTCTTTGGTTTCTTTTCCATTGAGCAGGCAGACTCACCTCCGTGCCTTGTTGGTGTCTACTCACCCTGCCCTGGTACATGGCATCTACTTCAGCTTTACTTCTCTGAGCAATTGTCTCATACTCCTGCCTGACTTCTTCAATGATGCCATCCATGTTGAGTTCTCGGTGGTTGTCCATGGACAGAATGACATTGGTGTTGCCAACCACTGTTTGCAGCTGGGACAGCTCCTACAAGGAAAACGAGATTTTTTTTTTCCAGCCTTTGTGACACACCAGACCCCCTTTTTCAGTCACAGATTAAAAAGGACTTTTAAAAATTAATTTTGTAGGATCAAAGGCCAAGGGTGATCCACTCCCCACACCAAAAAGTCTTGTTCTGGCAAAATTTCTGGGAACCTGCAAAAGATGCATGTCCTTCAAGACCTGGGGGTAAGTTTTTCAATCTAAGGAGCTTACTCACAGCTTCATGTAAGCATCTGAGGAACTCAAGATCCTGCTTCAGTATTTCCACACGGACATCAAACTCCATTTTTCCCATGTAGGCATTGTCCAGCTCCTGTCAAAAAAGCCACAGGTATATTCTTATTTCTTTGATCCAAATTCTCCACTGAAGTACAATTCTTGCAAGACTTGGTACTTTTTAAAACTGTCATTCCTGGGACGAAATAATAGGTCATGAATCTCAGACTTCATTTGAAAAGCAATTGGGAAAAGGGGAAGTTATAACTCTTAGAAGAATGGAATGGCTTGGAAATGAGTGAAATAACTGTGGCAATAAACGTGTTCCTGGAGAAAATCAAAATATAGAAACAGATTTCATTAATTCTTCTAATAAAATCTCATCTAAATTTTCTGTTCTCCTATCTGAGCATTCAATAAACATTATCTACCCCCTAATAACCACGTCTTGCCTAGGTTGGGAGTGAGTGACTAGAGGAGACCAGCACTTTTTAGATATTCATCTTAAAACGTACTGATTCTGTCTCTGGAGGAAATTATCTCTCCCCAGTGCTGCAGGGAAACGCTCTGGTTTTCAATGACTTCAGCTAGAGGAGGTTGGGCAAAGCTGAGCAAAGAGCTTGTTTTTAAAAACCTCATCAGCCATCCAGCTGTTGTGTTATTTCTGAGGCTTTGATTTAGCTCAGTGTCTTGGGTAACGTCACCTTTTTAAGCTCCACAAACTCCTCTTCTTTAGACGCACGCTTGTTGATCTCATCCTCAAACCTGTTGCAGCAGAGAAAAGAAGCAGCTCATCACCTGCCTTGTTTTTTCAGTCAGGTGGATCAGAAACCCAAGGGATTCAGCCAATAAAGGAATGTGTCAGGTCTTCTTCTCACTGTGATTTCTGCCAACGGCAAAGGCAGCTGCCAACCCCCTGTGAAACTATGGGCTGAATTAGCCAACGAACTGGGCAATGGATCAGTCCTAACACCCCTGTGACTCTGAGCTGAACTTCTCATTTCTCAGAGCTGTGGACATGTGCTATCCCTTGGATAAGCCAGAAGAAGTGATGACTTCTCAGCTTGACCCCCCTGCTCAGCCCTGTCCCTCCCCTCCTCTCTCTCTACGCTGACAACAACTCCACAACTACCAGGAGTACGGAGTCCTGGGTTACTCACTGCTCGGAGGAGGAAGGGCATGAAGCATGAGAGGAGAGAAGAGTGGGATAGATGGACTTTGATTTTCCACTTAACGTTCTGGGCTCTACCCTCCCCAAAACTGCTTTAGTCTCCCAGCATCATAGTCCCACAATGAACCTACTGCAGAGTAGTGCTGTGGTGGCTACAAAACTCTCGAAGGTGTGAAGCTGAGCTCTGCCACCCGAGATTAGTGTCCCCTTGGAAAATTCCAGTGTGTTTTTACCCAGACTTGTAACTATTCACCTCTTTTTGTAATCTTCAACAAGCTGCAGCATATTATACGCTTCTGGATCCAGCTGCTCCTTCTGGCTCTGGAGCATTTCCAGCTGCCTCTGCAGGTTGCTGATGTAAGATTGGAAGAATGAGGTGATATTTCTGCGCTCCTCCGGTCGGGCACTTTGCTGCTGCAGAAGTTCCCATTTGGCCATCAGAGCCTGGTTCTGCCGCTCAAGACATTGAACCTGAAAGGTGAAGCAGACAAGGGGAAACACCAACATCAGCACCAGTCCCTCCAGCAAAACAAATCCTCATTAAATTTCCAACACAAAACCAGCTACAGGTTTCAGCAGGTGGGACCAGCTGCAGCAGCACTGGTACCAGCACCCAGGACAGCTTAGACTAACAGCAGAGAAATCACTTTTTCTCCCAGCCTGTTGCTTAAGAAGGGTTTTAATGCTGCTTCTCAAGGCTGATACCGAAATCTTTGTTGGCTTTTCACCTCTTAAGTGCACAATGTTTAGGGGCATGATTTGGGTCGAAAGAGACCTCAGCTGTTTCTGAAGTACCTTAGGCACCCAAATACATGAGAAGAGTCAGATTCCTCTCAGAAGACCATGCAGGTCCACTCTCTTCTTAGATATACCTTGCATTAGAGAAGGTCAGAAAGACCTATAACATGCAGAGTATTTTTGGAAACCAGAGGGCCAGCATCTCCTCAGCTGGAGGCTCCAGGTTGTAACCCGGATGCTGACATCCAGGTTTCCAAAAATAACCAAACCAAGAGTCAAAGGCACTCCTATTTTTCAGGACTAAGCATGCTGAAAACTTCTGGCTGTAACTGTTCTGTCCCGGTTAGAAGGCAGAACTGTGTCCCAGCTCCTTTTCTGTAGGGTAATACAAAAAGCCCTTCAGTCCTCACACGTAACAAACAAGCTGCCACCCTATGCCACCACCCAAACAAAGGCACGTGTTGGGTCTGCGTGGGCTGGAGTGTTTTTGTGGCTGCTTTCTTCCTGCGTCTGAGTAGGAATCAAAGTGAAGAAGAGACTTCAGGCAGAGATTAGAATACTGTAGTGTAAGCCAAGAAAGACAAAGAGAGGTGCGGGTGCCACTGGCCGCCTGAAAGAGGCCAGAGCCTCCAAGCAAAGACAAAATTTGTTCTGTGATTCAGAGAAATGCAACATTTTGCTTTGCTTGAGAAGAAGAAACAGAACACATCAAGGCTGTCCAAATCCACCGTCCATTTTTCCCGTGAGTATCAACAATTCCCAGGTGCTAGAACGTTACTAGTCGTGCAGAAAACCTTCTTCCTCTAAAGAGGAGAGAGTTAATGTGCCAGGGACATCCTGGCAGTTTGTTGTTGTCCTGCCACGAAAGACAACTCAGAGATGCTTATCCCAGGGCCAAACGTGATTCATGCAGCAGCATTTATAGCGAGCTGTTAAGAACTTCACACCAGCACAGGGGAATCCAGCCAACACTGAGCATTTGGGGGAGAAGATGCAAAGCAAGATGTCTCTGACTCGCACAGGCAGAGCAGCACCCCTCACATTCCACCCAACACAAAGACAACAGGGACTCACCTTATCGATGAATGAGGCAAATTTGTTGTTGAGAGCCTTAATTTGCTCTTTCTCGTCTGAGCGCACCCTCTGGAACTCAGGGTCAACTTCTAGCTGCATTGGCCTCAGCAGGTTGACATTGACACGGACCTCCTCGATACCTCTGCTGACACCAGCCTGCCCCAAACCTTGTCCAGCCCCTTGCTCAACAAAGGCACCTCTAGCAAGGCCTCCCCCAAGTCCCTCCCTGGCTGAACTTCTTCCATACATGCTCCCAAGCCCTGCTTCACCACCTTGAAAAGCTCCCACAAAATACCCTCTTCTACCAAAGCCCCTGTCAAGATATCCCCTACCACCAAATCCCAGGTACCTCCCATATCCTATTCCTTCTCCTCTGTAGCCTCCACCAGCAAAAAGATTCCTAAATCCACCAAGGTTGTGGAGACTTCTGCTGCCATAGCCACTGTATCTTTCTTCTCCTCTATAGTCTTCGCAGTGGCTTAGGGTAGATGAACTTCGCCCACCACCCAGTGTGCCACAGTGGGCAGAAGAAGAGCTGAAATTCCCATCCCCAAATCTGGAGAAACGGTGGCTCATAGCGTTGCCTTCAGAGTGCTAAAGAGAAGGTAAGAGCAGGTTGTAAAACAGGAGTAGAAATGAGAGTGAAGGATCCTCAGCTCCTCTGCTGGGGGTGACAGAAGTTCTCCTTTATACGTTCTGGGGGAGGTAGTCTCCATTCCGTGGTAATTAGCAGGTCTGTTAATGTTGTTATTGGGTTTGGTTCATCAGGCAGCAATTAATGGCAGCCTGAAGAGAGGTCAGAGTAAACACCACACACCGATGGAGGAATTGTGAAATTCCCCAAATCCTGCTTGACTCATGAGCTTTACTCAGATGAGATTTCCTTATCTCATTAGCCTGCCCTCCATCATTAATTACAGCTCGCACAGTTATCCATGCACATTGCCACGGTGTGTTCCCTCTCAAATTTCCCCACCTCTCTTAGCATTTCATTTCAGGAGACGGAAGGCCTTGATATTGTCTTCATCTCGACTCGGGGGTGGCTCACCTTGCTTCACTGCCTCGCCAGGAGTAACTGCCACAGCAAGGAGAGGTTACTGCTCCCCTGGCTTCCCAGTCTCTCCTTTCTCTCACTCCCAGTACATCCACCCGTGAGCAGATGTTGCTTCTGCAGAGGGGGGGAAGATGTTGGCATCTGGTCTTCTTGCTGATGGCATAAAAAAAAAAATATGCCTTTGGCTCATAAAGCTGAAATAGCATCTAGAAAATGGAAATAAATTAATCTCCCTGTGTCAGTTTTAGCTTGAAATAAATGGATACAGAGTTTTAAATGGAAAAGAGAAAGCTCCGAGATAAGCTTTATAAAATAAATGTTTTTTGGGGAAAATGGTTTTTTGTCTTTGGTAAAGAGCAGCATTTTGTGGAAACGCTGTGGTGGAACTGCACAGAACCAGGGTGGAGGTTGGGATGGAGGGTTTGGGCCAGCGCTGGCCACTCCGAACAGTGCAGGGTCCAGGGGTAGACAGAGGAACGTGGCGCAGTACCTGCCCCTGTCCTCTCCCTAGTGCAGGTGTGAGGAGTGACCGGGCACTGGCGGTGCACAGTAAGAGGCAAGCACACGTCTCTGCTTGCACACAAATGATTTCTTCTTGAGTGGAGGAACAACAAGGAGAAAAGGGGGAGACCGAGAGGTCCAGGGCAGCACAAAGCAGCCTGTAAGTGGCTGGAACCAAGTGCTCAGCTGGTAAGAGTGCCAGCAAGGCAAGCTAAGGGGACACGGCGTGTGGAGTGGTGGGAAGCTTGGAGGAGCAAGGAGAGCTGCCCCTGGAGCTCTGAACCTCTCCCCGTGCCTGTGCAGGAAGTCTGCGTGATGGCTTCGGGTCAGACCTCTGGCTCTGAAAAAGCCAGAGCTGGGCAGGATGAATTCTGATGTGGGGCAGGTCCCCTTCTTCTAGGGGGAGGTCACTTCCCACCTTGGGCTTGCCTGTTTGAGACCCTCTGCACGGGGAGAGGGGTGGGCTGTGGGCTGTGTCAAGGCTTCATTTTAGCCTCGGGTCTGGGCCAGCAGGTATTCTTCCATTTCAAAACAAAGTATTACTTTACCTCTCTATCCCGTTAACAAATGACTAATGGCTATTTTAATAAATGGCTAATTATTCTGGGTTAACAGGAAGGCAAACAAGTCAATAAATTACTTGTAACCGCCTATAAAATTATTATTCCAAAAATACTACTAATAATTATACTAATATCTGTTAATCTCTTCTTTCCCCTACAAGAATGTGAAAGTATCAATTTAACATAAGGTGTGAAAATAGTGATGTTTCTATTGCTGTTATTAACAACTACAATGAGTCGATAAAAGAAGGTCATTAGTTTTTTTACTTTATTGGCTAACCCAATGCAAAATACCCTGTTCTCTGATCCCTGAGATCTCTTCCAGGCTAAGCAAGTCCTGGTTCCTCCACACACAGCAAATCTGCAGCTGATGCCCTTGAGCTGGGGCGTGTGCTGCTGGAGCAAAGCAGAGATGAAATCTCCAAAGGGTTTCAGGAGAAGGAGAGATACAGGCTGCAGGAAAAGAAGGAAAAAGAAAAATGAGGATGAAGAGGAAACTGGGTTGAACTTTAGGTTAAATGCATCAGGTGTCATGAGAAAAAAGTGGCTTTTGTTTTCCCTCTATGTGCAGCTGCTCCACAGCAGAAAAATAGTCCAGGTAATGGTAGCCATGATATAAATAGAGGGATAATATTAGGGCAGCTTCATGATCAAGATCTAAGTGGCAACAAGCAAAGGGAGTTGCTGAAACTTCAGTAATTGACACCAGCAATCAGCGCTCACAAGAACGGCCCCAGAGCCCAGGACTGTGGGCACAGACCCCAGGAGGACCCCAGGACGAGCAGCTTAACCCAGCCTGGTTCAGCCATGGTCCACGGCAACTAGCCAGGCGTGGTGGGACTGGTGTCACCACGCCTGAGCCACCACAGCCCCGGGGAGGGAAGGAGGGAAGGAGGGAAGGAGGGCAGCTGGCCCCGAGCGAGCGAGACTCGAGCCGTCCAGCGGAGCCTGTCCCTCTGCAAGGACTCCTGCAACAGCCAGAGGTGTTGTGCAGCCCAGAGTCCTCCCCGCTCCTACAGGATTTAAGGAAACACAAGAAGAGCCTCTGATGCTCAGTGGATCAGCCTTTGCTAGGTAGACAAGGAGTCAACAGCCCCCTGGGTCAGAGAATGTGCTAAGAGAGCTACGGCAAGCTTCAAAGGACAATGTTTATGATTGAGAACAATTTTAATAATATCCCTTCCCACAGGAAGCTGAAACAGCTGGAAATAATTCTGGCAGATGTTCAGAATCCGGTAAACAATGTGATTAGCAGCCTACAAAAGAAGTGGGTCCCAGTGCTGGCTTCTCAGGGCAGTGTCATTACACTGGGAAGTTCACCACACCCACACTTACGTATCACCCGGGCTGGCCTCCCACTGGCTTCAGCTGATAATTAGCCCAATCAAGGTCAGACCCCATGATCGATTGAGTAAATCACTTCTGAGTTATTGAAACCCCAGTTGCTGTCATTAGCTCTGCAGCAGCGACAGCAGCATCCACAGGCCAACAAAATATGTGAAGAAAAGGCAAAACAACACAAAACTAATGAAAACTTCTGTTATTCTCAGAGCAGACCCTGCCCAGCAAGGGGAGCTTCTGAAGGAAGTCACGGCGTGGAGGCACCACGTGATGTCCCACTCTGAAGGTATTTTGGTAAATCCAACCACTTAATTCTTTGCAAAACTGCTGAAGAGAGACCACTACCTCCAGCAGGGGATCACCTCTCTGAAGAGACCATCCCTGGAGTCATCTTTATTTCCCCCCAGGTGGTAGCAGAGTAAGTCAAAGCCCCTTTTAACACCACCTCACAGATGATGTGTGTTAAAGAAAGGCATCTCTTGGCCAAGAGCATTCTGTCAGCAGGGTTCTGCCAGGTTCCTTTCAGTCCAGCTGCTTTCCCCCTGTCTCTCCTGGGTTTCCAGTGGTCTAAGTGGTGGTGGATACAACAAGGACCAGCAACCAAGTCTGATACAGAGGTACAAGATTCTCACCATTCATCCTCCCAACAAACCTGTGCTATCATGAGGTACCTTACTTGCAGCAGCACTTGAGACCAGCACAGACAGCACTATCCCTGGAAGATCCATCCCATCGTGGTTTTGTCTCAGCCCCACATCCACACTTCATTAACCAGCCACCAAGCCCATTGAGTGCCCAAAACTCAGGACCTGGCATTCCCCCAACAAATCGTTGCCTCCCTGCCTCGTGGCACCTCCCAGTTGAAAGCTCCAGAGAACAGCAGCAACTGCACAACATCATTTGCTGGCCAAGACCTTAATTCAGCTTCTCCACCTCTTGCAGCTCCCCAGGACTGGGGAAGAGCGACTGGGAACTGGCCAGCAGAAAGGGACCTGGGGCTACTGATCAAAGACTGGCCAAATATGAGCCAACCTGTGCCCAGGTGGCCAAGGAGGCCACCAGCATCCTGGCTTGGGTCAGCACTGGTGTGGCCAGCAGGAGCAGGGCAGGGATTGTCCCCCAGGCGTGGGCACTGGGGAGACCCCATTGCAGTACAGGGTAGTTCAGATCTACCTTTTACACATTTTAAATCTTTTCTCAGCCCTCTGGTGGTGTTTGGCACAGTCTGTGGGTTAAAAACCACCCAGGGCAGCAGCTGGCTGCTCAGCTTGGTCTAAAAACAACCACTGAGCCCTCAGAGTGGCCAAAGGACACCCAGAGCCTGAAGTATCCCTCTGCATTCATCCAAACTCTGGATAGCCTGATGTGAGTAACCTCAGGAACCACAGCCTGTCAGATCCCAGCAGGAGAAAAACTCCCCTGCCCAAGGCCCAATTTGTCTACCCAATATTTCAGAAAAGGGACCTATCTACCTACCCTGAATGCCATGTCCCACCAGAAGTCTTTAGAAGTGAAACAGTGAAAAAATTCCAACTCCTACCTCCTCCAGCAAAGGGGGCAACATTTTCACTGGGGATCCTGATTTGCTCTTTCTCCACTATGTGCCCCTTCTAGACCTCAGGGCTGACATCCAGACATGAGAGGTATGAAGGAGTCTTAGCTCAAGGTGATTTCTTGAATACCAGTAGATGTGATGGAGGGGAAGTAGCATCCCTCTTTCCAACAAACCCCCTGTTTTTACCAAAGAAATTTGCCACACCCCCTTAGAAGCACTCAGCAGCAAAGTACCCTCCCAGCTGAGAGCTTCCACCTGTAGGAAGCACTTCTACTCCCACCATTCCTGCAGAGGTTTCAACCACAAAGCCACAGAAAACGTTTCTTTCTCAGCACAGGAGGTTTGAAGCAGGCTGTGCTGCTGGCAGGGGGCACAATACCAGAGCTACCCCTGCTCCTCTTCAGCTGCTCTACTTCAAACAGACAAGGCTGTGGGACAGAACCAGACCTTCTAATTTCCTCTTTACATATCTGCAGGGAGCTGGGTTTGGTTGGAGAGGTGCAGAGGAAGCCACCAGGGCCAGCTGAAGGGGTGGGCTCCTCGGCTGCCAGCCCTGCCCTTACTCCAGCAGATTTCAAGCACCTGTGGAGGCACCAAAAAAACTCTAGAGAACTTAATCTCAGCACTTCAGAGAGTGGGTTTGGGCGGGAGGAGGAGGGGAGGCTGGTCTGAGGACCTCCAGGACCAGCATGAAGTGGCTGTCCAAGTCTGAGACAAGGACCAGCTTCGGCTGATTCTGGCCCCATAGCAAACCCTGTAAAGATCAGGCAGGGCAGAGGACCTGCAGCTCAGCCCCAGACACAGTGACTGGCAAGAGCAACACACCACTTGTCCTTTCCTCTTTCACCAGGCTGCCACTTGTGAGCCATGACTGTGTAAAAATGGAGCCAATCCTTCCTTTAGGTGGTGGTTTTCCCATCTCAGCCTGGACGATAATTTATGGGAAAGTCAATTTGTCATCGACCTGGAGGACGCCAGCGGGTTGGGGAGCGTGTGAGAGCTGGGCAGTGTCCCTCGCACGGGCTGCAAGCCCTCTAGTGGCATTTTGTGGCTGTGTCTGTCTTATCTCCGTCAGCAAGCCCTGGTCCCCAGGCCACAGGAGATGTAGGCTTGGTAGCTACCTGGCTTTAGGTACAATTGTCAATGGTTTGCTTGTGGAAGTTTTTAGGGGTTTGACTGTTTTGAACTTAGACAATTTGAGTTGGAGGCGAGCGAGCTGGGGGTGTTGCTGTTGGAAGTGTAGGTAAGGGAGCAGAGGATGCTGAGCCCCACATTTAACCCCCTGTAACCTCTCTGCACCTCAGTTCCATTGCTGAACGTCTCGTACTTCAGGATGATGAAGGGCTCCAGCTGCTCAGGAGGTAAGTGCCATGTAAATAAGAGCACCAAGGATGCAGAGGCAGATCACCTCTCAGGAGACAATGTCTCATCCTTTCAACAAAGTGGCGCCCCTCATAAAAGCAAACGCTTCCTGCTCACCAGCTGTCCACTGTCATACCCAATGCAGCTGCAAATGGGTGAGTCTCCTCCATGTTTGCACAGGGACCAACCCAAGGGAAGCAATCTTGGTAGCTTCTGAGGCCCTCCCATAATAAACATGATTAGTAACAATTAAAAATTCATTAGAGCTCCAATTACAGCCAATATAATGCCACCAGGATTCATTCGCCAATAAGCCCATAAAATATTGCACCTATTATATTTCTTCCCGGGCTCTAATGCAAATATTGCACCACTCACACCCTGAACCAGGTTATGTGACAGACACAGACCTGCTCTTCTCTCCTTCCAGCATCCTGCACGAGGCAATCTCAACATCCAGGCCCATCATCATACCCAACGAGTCCTGATATTCCTCCAGTGCATGGCCAAGCTCCTCCTTGGCCCCACGGAGGGCTCTGCAGAGTTCATCCAGTTTGCTTTGGACTTTGTGGAGGATGAGATCTCCTTTCTGTTCCACCTCAACGATGCTTGGGGGAAGCAAGTGGTCTAGCCACCAGTGGTCTTGCACTAAACCAGCTGGTGACTGGAGAGACCACCAATCCCAGACCCTTACTCTGCGTGATGGAGACCCAGTGGTAAACAGCAGGAGTACAACATTTGCCATCACACTGTGAACTCCAGTCTTTGCAAGTCAAAAACAATCAGAAAATGGAGGCAGGTTCTCGTCAGCACCTAAGCAGAGCCCGCAGGAGACTCCTGGGGGCAGATTTTGTATAAGCACGGATGGCACGTGCCCTTTGCTGTAGAAAATCAGAACTTACAAACAAAAAAAAATATATTTATTCTGTATTTTTTACTCTCTGTGTCCAAAGTGGCAACAGCTCTACCAGGAAATATTGAAGACGTATCATTGCTTGATCACGCTGAGACTGTTTGACAGGAAAATTCACTCATTTGAAGGCAAACAGGCCCCTTTGCTGCACACACGAAGGTGCTCTCACCCTAGGCCAGCAGCTAGCACCGTGCCCCGCAGAGCAGGTGGAGGAGAGCCCGGCCACGGGGCTGGAACAATCTTTCATTCAAGCGTGATGCACTTGAGCAATTAGCATTACTCCCTTTTTCATGAGCACAGCAGATGGGGAAGATAAACTCCGGCACCTCCGCGTTGCAGCCTGGCCCCTCTCCAGGAACAACTCAAGGAACTTATAAAAAGCCTGTGGTTTCTGCAGGATGGAACCTGCGTCTTTGGCTCCCTGGGTTTCAACACACTGGAGATCTTCACCCTCTCTGCCATCCTCCCGAGGAGGTCCTCAGGAATGCTCCGGGGCTTTGCACCGTCTTGGCCTGCGCCTGTCCTTGGACTCTTCGCTGGGATGAGGAAGAGGATTCCTGGTCTCTCTGGTCCCAGCCCATGCATCTCAGAATCAGAAATGTCATTGTTTATTCAAAGGAGAACAAGGCATCTCACAGCCTGCTGTGAAGATCAGATTAAGAAGCCAGGGGATTCAACTGAAAGAGTATTTGGTGGAAAGTAAGAAAAGTGCCATGAAAGCCACAGTAATTCAAGTCAGAACTATCATTTCTTCCTCATTTTGTCCATTCAGGTGACTCTGCCATCCAGCTCTTCTGTGTTTCCAGACTTCTACCTGACAAACACCAAGACTGCACCAGGACAATGCTCACACCACAGTCAGGGTTGATTCACCCACCACTCCAGCTCTCGCTCCTCCCAGTGCTGGAGAAGAATCCACCAAGCATTAATCAAATTAATTTGGTTGCAATGGGATGTTATTTAGAGAGGGCTAATGACTAACCTGGCTGGGCAATCTGGAGCTCTAATAGCAGGGTTGAGGCTGTGTCTCATACTTTCACGCTGCTTTTTTTCATGAGTAATTTGTGTCCTCATAGCGTCTTCAGACCTTCCCACCGCTCACGGATGAGGTGCTGGTGCCCATGCAAGAGCCTTGCTCTCCAGATAGATGGTGCTGCTTGCCCTTGTGCCAGCCAAGGCTGGAGGGCAGCCACGCTCATCTCTGCATGGACTGCCCACTGCAGACCCACCGCTGCTGCCCTCCAGGATGCCCAGGTGGGAGCTCCAGGCACTGTGTGGTGGTGATGGGTTGGCTCTGTGTCCTCTTGGGATGACAGCTGTGCCAAGGACTGGCACGGACTGCCACGTCCCAACGGCAGTGGTCAAACCACCCCAGTCCAGCTGCCACACTCCAATGGCCACATTCAAACCACCACCTCTCAGTGACCATGTTTAGACCATCCCAACCACCACATCCCAACAGCCCTGTTCAAACCACCACATCCCAACTGCACTGTTCAAACCACCACATCCCAACTGCCCTGTTCAAACCACCACATCCCAACTGCCATGTTCAAACCACCACATCCCAACTGCCCTGTTCAAGCCACCACATCCCAACTGCCATGTTCAAACTGCCCCAGTGCAACTGCTCCAACTGCCCTCTTCAAACCATCACATCCAGACCACCACAAAGAATCCCAACCACAGCGTCCCCGTTGGTCCTGAGGTGCCCATCAACCAAGAGCTGGACACTTCATCCTTCCACCCTTGGGATGAGGGTGTTTCCCCTCCCTTGGGGACCGTTAAGTGGAAAAATGACACAAAGAAATCTTTTCATCTCTCTGCAGTTTATTGGTAATGGAAGAACTCGGAGGAAAGGGGCACTGGTAGGAAGCAACCATGCAGTTGGGTTCACGCAACAGGATCTTTGTGACAAGGCCACACATAAGTCAGGTGTGAAGGAGAAGAAAGAAAGGTCTCTATATAATATTAAAGCTGCCAAATTACTCCACCAAGGGAAGGTGGACATCTCCAGAGACCTGTTTCTCACTCCTAAATCTGACTGTGAGACATGATCACATTTCTCCTGCTCACGTGAACTCCTTATACAGCTGAAATAAGCATGTGGGGAACATGCAGGACGCGCGGAAGCTGCAAGGGGAACACGGCCATTGAAAAAGAGACCTTAAAAAGTGAAAGGAAAGAGCCATTTTCTCCACGCTCCTCTCAGCCAGCACAGCTCCCGGGGGCAGCAGCAAGAAGCGCAGCGAAAGGTGCTCGGGCGAGCCCTGCAGCCCCCTCCCATGAGGGAGATCTTTCATCCCTGGGGGCTGCTGGAGCTCCGAGAGGAGCCAGGCTCTGCCAGCGGGATGATGTTTGGGTGCCTCCTCCCCTGGGGCAGGGTGATTTCAGGAGGTTCTGAGCTGTAAGGGAAAGTTCGTTTCTCTGCTGGTTGAGGGGCTGTGCCGCTGGCCGCAGGAAGGAAAAGCTGCTTCTTTCCTGGGGGGACTGAGGTCAGGGCTCAGTATTTTACACCTGAAGACTTGACCGTAGTGGTTGTGACACATCTCCTCACGGAGGAGGATCCACCCCCCGCCACGAAGGTGCCGCCTCCAGTGCTGCACATCCTCCCACTTCCAGAGGAGAAGCCGCCGCCCAGGAGCCCTCCTCCCACTCCACAGCTGCCTCCAATGATGCTTCCTCCTCCGACCGCACATACTCCTCCTCCCATGCCACTGCCGGCTCCAAAGCCGCCGGCTCTGCTGCCAGCAATCGTGGTTCTGCCCACCACAGCTGCAAGAGAAGGACAGGATCACTGAGCACCGCCGGGCAGCCTGGGAGCCCTCACCAGACCCAGGACACAAACCCTGCTGCAGGGAGGCAGGGACGGGTACTTACAGACATTGATGTTGGACGGGTTCTCCCCGCAGAGCCTGTGCAGAGAAAGGACCACAAGGTGTAAATCTCACACAGTTTAAGACCTGTGCAATTCCCTGAGCAATCTCTATTTCCTGTTTGATTCAACACCAATCAAAACCACTGAGAAATATTCTCGATGGGGACCTCATTTCTATTTTGGACCTAAACACTTGGAGGAGAAGTGAAAGTAAATCGAATTCCAATACTAAATGAGATGTGAGAGAAGATTAAACCTCAGGCTATCACAAGGGGAGACAGTTCATTGGTCAGGCCAGCCCCACACCAGGTCTCACCGGTTCTCCTCTCCCTCCAGCAGCTTCCTGTACATGGCAATCTCAACGTCCAGCGCGATCTTGATGTTCAGCAGCTCCTGGTACTCCTTCAGCAAGCGAGCCCGCTCCT